AAACCGGAAGGCAGAACTGACCAATCAGAATACACATTCAAGTATAACTAGAATTTCCTCAGTGGTGCACTAGATTTCAATACCCGTATTCATACAACATGAGCCTCCACACCTGGCTTTGCAACCATGTTGTTACAAAGGAGTGAAAACGCGGCAGTGGCTCAGCTTCTCCGCAGGGGTTTGTCTTTGCAGCGTGTTCCCCTCTGAGAATCTTTGCTGTTGGCTTTCCGAACGCTGACGGGAAGGCTGGCGATGGGGAAGGAAGTATTATTTGGTGCAGTCCTTGTGAAGATGTGCCACGCAGAATTCCTTCCAGTCGAGGGCTCTTTGTTACACTAGCATGACTGGGTTGAGCTGACAGATGCACTTCAGGTTGGAGTTTTTCCAAAATGGCTTCCGGATAATGCCAGAGCAGGTCAGGAGTCCAAGCCTTGGACACATTCTGCCTGACAGGAGATTATCCCCCAAACCCTTTTGCTCTAAGCTTCCCTGAGTGTGGACTTTATTAGGTCTGTGCTGTGTCTCGATCCCTCCTCCTAACTTAGCCCTCTCCTTTTCCTTTGACCTCATTTTCCCCCAATGAGCTTCAGGTACTTAACTTCATATTAAAGGCAGCTTCTTAGAGAACCCAGCCCAAGAAAGGAACTTAACAGGAATAATGAAAATCCCTTCTATCAGACAAGAAGAATGGGCTGACGGGAGTCGTGTCCAGGCCCCTAAACTGGTTTTAAAGACTTGCCTCTGTCTTTATAAACTGCTTTAAGTACCTATACTTTACTCTGACCAGAGGGAGCCCTGTTAGAGACTCCCTAATGAGACACCATTAAAGCTGTACTTGGTAGTGGGGGTGGATGCTTTTCACTTTGCTCTTACTGCACACCGTGTTCTTGCTTCCCAACCACAGGTAGCACATTCCATAGACATCCTCTTCCCTAAATACCCAATCTTGATGTTTTTTACCCCTGAACATGGCAATCGACTGTTTGTTTTCTTTCCTGTGAACTGATTGGCAGTTGCTAAAGCTTGATAGAGTAGAAAATCCTCCCCAGTGGGCTTTGAGTGGATGCGATTCACAGAGCCACGTTCTAGCTCACAGATACTCAGAGATGGAGACTCAGGCCTCCATTTTTCCACACAAGATCCTGAACCCCAGGGTCCTTGACCAGATGGAGATTTCCTTGGATCACTACACTGGGCCTGAGTGATGGGTCACACACCTGGCCTACCTCCTAAAACTACACGATTGCTTCAAAGAAGGTGACTTTATGGGGAAGATGGCCCCTTGAATAGTGTAGGCTCCCTTCGCCCCTGCAGACTGTAGTTGGCTGCTGTCAGTTAACTCTCAAGTCTCTTCCATTGCTCCCATGTGCTGCATCACATCGCTCCATACAAGATAAAATGGGCCAGAGCTTGTTTCTGGAGAGGAGTAGGCTGAGAGGTGCTTTGCCTTCTTACCGTACACAACAAGGAGTGGGAAATACTGAAAAGAGCCGTGGTAGAGCTTTAAAAGACAAAAGGAAGTTCCTAAGCTGACAGGCCACCAGGATGGCATGGTTTTAGTTTGATCAAGGTGTAGCCATTACATGCTTGTGAGAACACAGAATGGTTCTCTACCTAAAGAGTGTCCAAGAGGCAGAAGAGGGACACACCCCAGGCCCAGCCTTTCCCCACTCCAAATTCACTAGTTTAGAGATATACACTCAGTTCTTCGCACAGAGATTGGGAGTAAGAAACTGTCATGAAATGATTTGCACCCCCTCCCCACTTGCCCCACTCCCAGCAAAGACCAACCCTTCCTCAGAACTATTGCTAAAGAGAAAGGCAAAGAGGCATTGAATTTTGTGCGCATTAAAGAAAGCCTGCTCAGTTCAGTACCCCATTTTTAAATTGGGTTAATTAGAGCTTTAATGTCTAGTTTCTTGAGTTCTTTGTATATTTTAGAGATCAGACCTTTGTCTGATGCAGGGTTGGTGAAGAGTTCCTCCCGTTCAGTAGGTTGCCTTTTGGTCTTAATGACAGTGTCCTTTGCATTACAGAAGCTTCTCAGTTTCAGGAGGTCCCATTTATTCATTGTTGCTCTTATTGTCTGTGCTACTGGGCAGCAGAGGAGAGGGCGCCTGAACTGGCCTTATCCTATAGCCACACTGATGAATATCTTGCATATCGCAATAGAACCTTCATCTGGTGATGGATGGAGATAGAGACAGAGACCCACATTGGAGCACTGAGCTGAGCTCCCAAGGTCCAAATAAGGAGCAGAAGGAGGGAGAACATGAGCAAGAAAGTCAGGACCACGAGGGGTGTGTCCACCCACTGAGACAATGGGACTGATCTAATGGGAGCTCACCAAGGCCAGATGGACTGGGAGTGATGGAGCATGTGATCAAACTGGACTCTCTGAATGTGGCTGACAATGAGGGGTGACTGAGAAGCCAAGGACAATGGCACTGAGTTTTGATTCTACTGCATGGACTGGCCTTGTGGGAGCCTAGTCTGTTTGGATGCTCACCTTTATAGACCTGGATGGAGGGGGAGGACCTTGGTCTTCTCACAGGGCAGGAACAGCTCTTAGGACTGGAGAGGGAGTGGGAAAGGGGGTAGGAGGAGTGGAAGGAAATTGGGAGGAGGTGGAAATTTTTAATAAATAAAAGAAAACCTGCATTCATGAAGACACAGAGAGGATCTGCGAAACCTCAGTTGTCACTCCCCTCAGAACATTTTATGGATCAAAACATGAACGCAAAGTTTGATCAGTTATACTTCTTTCTCTCTAAGCATTTGAAAGGGCCTTAACCACGCTGGCCTGTGCTGTGGGAATGCTCTCCCCCACACTTTCCAAAGCTCCAGATATTTATGACCAGGGCAAGCTGCAGGCGACGGCATCTGACGCCGTCTTTGGCGGTCTGGTTTTTATTCTTCCTGACAATGGATGTGTGGAGGGGCAAAGTGTTGGACTGTTTACTACTTCAAAACATTTTAAAAGGTAATGAATGTACAAACATCACAGGAAAAAAAAGGGCCCTCTGTAAGGTGGTTCAGAGTCGGAGAGAAAATTCAAACAATATTAGCCTCAAAAAGTCAACATCAGACACCCTTCTACTAAGGACCTACAAACAAACAGAGTTACTCTGTGCACACATTAACAACCGCAACGCAGGGCTGCTGGGTTGTCGCCTTCTCAGAGCCATGAGTTCATAACATGAGTTTGCAGAGGACTTAGAAGGTTCCAGAACCCTGAGGAGATTTGTCTCCCGAGGGCCTTCAGTATCAGAATTTTTATCCTTGATGTCTAAGGCAGAGGAAGACCACTGGGAAAGTGAGATTCCGGCTTGACTGAGCTGCATTTGTCTCTAATACCCAGCCACCTGTCCTAGTGTGCTGGGCACAGAAGGGGTCAATTGGTTTTCTAGTTCTTCATAGTCCACAGAGACAAAATACTACTGGGCACACATGTCTCTGCCCAGATGCTCTCACATCTCAGAATTCAAAGACAGAAGTTACCGTTTGCAAAAGTAAATAGTTCACAGTGAAAAAAGAATCTACCATTTTGCCTTCTTGCTCACACAGACACCTAGGATGTCAATCGCTTCCTATCCATTCACTCACTGGATGATGGGCTAAGCAAAACAAACAAACAAACAAGCAAACAAGCAAAACCAAGAAGTCTCCCCCCAAATAAAAACTCAAACAAAATAAAAAATAAAAGATAGAAAACAAAACAAAAAAACCCTAAACGGTTGATTGTTATTTTTCAATGTTTTTCAGAGTTTCACTTCACAACTCTAAAGATTGCCCTCGGTCTGGTGGGCCAAGCTTTTGCGAGTTGTAAACAAGGTGGCTTGATCACTTCTGGTTCCCCATATACCTATTTCTAGAAGCATGAGATGCGGGAGTTCAGAGGAGACAGTTTTCTCGCCTGGTATTAGATGGGACTTCCATACTGCTATCTGATGGTGACTGGACTTGCTAATGCCTTCTGGGTCAAACCTGCCTGTCAACGCAGTCCACAGGAAAATTGGCAAAAAGCATGTTCCAAGCATTGTGCTTTTTGCAAGTGTTACTTTTCCTGGAGGAAGATACTTTTTGCTACAGCTTACCAAAAGGACACACACGCAAACACACACATACACACGAAGTATAAAGCATAGTATTTTAAACCTATCCTTTTCATGTTAAATCTACTCTTTTTTTGATGCAACCGTGCAAAAAGTTTCATATTTCATTATTGCAATCACTCTTTTATAATACTAGGTCTAAACTCTCATTAATTTTTATTTTTATTTTTATTTTTGGCTAGCTGCACAAACTTAATCACCCACAGTGAAGTTTCAGGCCACAGTGAAGAGAAAATGACTTTTCCTCCTCCCAGTGAACCATGAGAGCAATAAACCCAAGCTCACAATGTGTGAGACTCCCTCTTGGCATTTAGACACCACACTAGGGAAAGACCCGGAGAGCCACAGGATTGCCTTTAACAGATTCAAATGCAGAGGATGACTTGCAAAACCTGGAAGCCTGTCTTATTTTTGCTCGATCAATGCGACAGGAAGACGATTGCTGTGAAGACACACAAACAGCAAACAAACAAACAAAACACCTCAGCCATAATTGTGGTTGGCTTAACGCATCTCCTAAGTCAGTCGATAGCAGATGGCCCTCCCACTGCCCCTCTCCCAATGCCTGATAAAGCTAGCCTCTTCCCCGGATCAAGGTATTAAGGTTTCGGTTATTTGTATTGATTTTATGTGCTGCCGGCCATGCTGATCTGTGCTTCACAAATTCCTCTTTTAAAATGTCACCACCATTTCATTTTCTCTGCCATCAATATTGTAGTCCGGGGCTGCCTGTTAACCTCCAGGGCTCTAGTCTTCCTAGATACCCTAGAGTGTGAGGGGGGAGTACGGCAGGTTCCCAAAATTTTCACAGGTGCCATCAAAACGGGTGACCGTGAGATTTTCTCCAAGAAAAAAAAGAGAAAGGGATGGAACCAGGGAGGGAAAGGAAACAAAACAAAAAGAGGCTTTCAAATATTTTTCTCTGATACTTGAAACCGTGTTTCTCTATTGTCTGTTCGCAGGAAACAGACAAGCCCTCTAGTGGTTAGCCAGGGAGCTTAGCCACAATGGAAGGCTCGCTGGATAGCTTTTGATAGCATCCTCATTGCATCCACACCCATGGACAGGTGTGTGTGCAGGAATTCTCTGCCTGAACACAGTTCTCACCAGCTGCATCCTCACTGCTACCTAAAATAGATCTTAAAGAGGTTTTGAATTGGCAGGTAATTTTAAATCAATAAAGACTTTCCCTGGAAGGGCTAGAATCTTCAGTCAAACACGGAAACACGCCCATTTAACAATTTCAAATAGATCTTTTCCCTTTTCAGCCCAGAATAAACTCGCTTTCCCTGGAAGCCAGACAGGAACCTGCACACAGGCTGTATTTATCAGTCGACGACGAGCCTTTAACAAACACGCAGCGGGTGAAAATAAAACACATGTTTTCCCTTATTTCTCTGTGAGCGCTTACTTAAGGTTTTATTATATTTGGCCATGGGACATTCAGTAAACTTACTGATGATATCAAAGAATGATTTTACAAACAGTAAAAGTTACACTATTGACACCTCCAAATTCTGGCATATTTACATTGTGTTAGGGGCACACTTGCTCAGGGAGATTAACAAACATTACTAGGAAGGCTGTGGCCAAATCCACCCTGGTTGTTTATAAAACCTTTACAATTCATCAGCTTCCACTAACACACTGGCACTGTTCAATTACCATCAGTTTTAGAGAGCTTTAGCAAAACATCTAGTGCCCATGTAAATAGACAAGTCTGAAAACTAGCTGGTCGTCTGTTGGCTTACATACTGTAGGTAATGTTTTCTTTTGCTCAAATTTGTTCTGGAAACTAATCACGCTCTGATAAAGCCATCTGCAAATATGAGAAAGATTGACACCCACATGTCAAAGTTTACACAGCCTGACCAAGTGTACATATAGTACAGATGATGTAAGGCCGTCTCGCTGAGCTTCTCCAGGGCCATGTTGGAATGGAGCTCCCTAGAGGAGCACGGCCATGTGAAAGTGAGCCCGTCCATCTCCTGGTCAAGTTAACACACTTCTCAAGGGCTGGCTGGGTGCTTTCTTTTGTCTCCTTCATGGAACTTTCATGACCCCAGCATATTCAATCCAGGATCACCTGGCAATGATGGCTAAACTAATTCCAAGCAAAGGCCCTTACTCCTGCACGCACAATGGCGACTCACTGTGCACGGCAGAAAGGATGTCGCTAACTCTCTGTGACGGAGATGATATGAAATGGTATTTGCATGGCAGCTCACACGCTGAAAGTTTCTTACTGCACACTATGTACTTTGTGGGGAGGACTGTCCTGTGCCTTGACCTGTGCCCTCATGTCAAAGAAAACCTGAATCCGAGGCAGATAGAGAAGAGAATGGGGCTGAACACAAGGAGGAAGTTGATGGACATTCATCCATGGTTCACTTTGATGACAAGCTTATCTGGGAGTTGGAGTGCCCAGTGCAAGTCTCTCTTTGCTGGTGGGTGGCAGTGGCTGTATTTTGTGCCCTATTTTCCCTATTTGGAAACACAGCAGAAAATGAAATCAACAGTATTAGGAAGGAATTATTTGTAGCGAGATTATCTTGGTTCTTGACGTGCCCTCTTTATTTTGAACTCAGAACTAATATATTTGAAATCTTATTCTTGAATCTTTCTAGGAATTCACCATAGACTGCCTTGCTGACCATTTCTAGAATATAGCCTAGTAAGTCTGAATATTTAAGAATATTTAATATGAATACAAAGAACTTGAATTATTTGAAGAATACACTGAATTTTCTGTAGCATTAGGACATTTGTGATTGCTCCACAGCTTTTTAAAAATTCATCTGCTAAATCTTTCAGTTCCCATGATAAAAATCAGATAATGTCTTAATACAGCAGTAAGTCTGAAATTTTCTTTTCTAAATTGCCAATTTTCAGGTTTTACTTCCCCCTTTTTGAGTTTTCAATGTGTGTGCATATGTGTATGATTGTGTGTGTGCACGTGTGTGCACATGTACACATTACACCAATGTATGTATAGAGGTCAGAAGTCAATGTTGAAATGTCAAGTGTCCTCCTCCATTACACTCCGCTTTTGGGGATTGGGGGACAGGATCTCTCCTTAAACCTAGAGTTTATTGATTGATATGGTTAGTCTGGCTGGCTAGTGAACCCCGAGGATCTGTCTATCTTGACCCCACCATCACAGGATGGACTGACAGGTGCGTGTTGTCACGTCAGGATTTTAGATGCGTCGTGGAACGCAGCAGGCACGTTAGCCACTGAGCCGTCGCTCCAGCGCCAGGACGTCGTGATAGATTATTAAATCTGTAGTCAGTAACAGATTATTGCTTTTTTTTTTTTGCTACTGATTTAAAAATAGCAAATCAAACCTGAAAGATAGTTTTGAGAATTTTGTGTTTTAAGACTACAACGAATGTTTAGTTCTTGTCATTGTCTCCTGAAGACGTTGATGATGACGGCGTTAATTGTTCTGTTCGCTATGCAGGCTTTGAAGATGCGAGCGCAGCTGGAATCTCCGCTGAGCCACAGTCAACTGTCTTCTTTGATCTTTACGTATCTACATATTCCAGCATTACATGCTCATGTCCCACCTCCAGCAACTCTTGAGTCTTAGTTAATTGTAGATTTTTCTGACTGTGACGTCTCCCTAGTTAGTTGTCCTATAATGTCAAATTCTCTAGTTATCAGAAAATGAGTTTAACACACACCTATGATCCCAGTGCTCCAGAAAGCTGGGCAAAGAGGATTGTTATAAGTTTGAGGCTAACCTTGTTTGTACAATAAGTCCTAGGCCAGCCAAGGCAGAATATTAAGACCTCTTTCTTATTCTCTTTCCTTCTCCCTCTTTCTCTTCTTCCCCCTCCATATATATATTACATATCTATATATAAAATGTGTGTGTGTATGCATATGTGTGTGTGCACTCAGTGCTTATGAATGTATGTCAAAATATGTGTAAAAGATACACATACATATCTGGAGTATATGTGTTTATACTCATATCTTCAAAATATAGAATGTGTGTGTGTGTGTGTGTGTGCATGTGTGTTTGTACGTGCATGTGTGGTATGTGTGGAGACCCCTCCAAAACTGCCAAGAAGTTTTAAAGGCAGGCTCTGTCTTTGAGTATTACTCAATTCTTTGAGCAGTCTTTAGTCCTATAATGCTACTCTTAGAACCTATAACCTCTTTCGTGCTTCTCTACCTACATTGATATGAAATGTGTAACGATTTTTACAATGATCCTTATCACACAGAAGCCTCTTCTATGTTAGCTCATAAAACGTAATTTCCAATTTCCTCCTTGCAAACAATAAATGATCTTTGTCCCCATGTGGGTAATTGGATCACGGTGGTAGGTGATAGCTCCTCAGTTACCAGGTAATTCTGCCTCAGAGCTTAGGTTAAGAGCAGGGTGGTAACTCTTATTTCTGGGATAGGAGGAGAGGGGCCAGTGTTTCGTTTGTTGATGCCTGTGCTGTGCCAGCCCCTGGCTGGCGACGTGGGCTGTTATCTCTTATATCACAAGCTATTTTATGCCTCCTTATTCAGCTGTGCCACCCATTCCCCTCTTAATACCCTTTGATACCTTCCACAGCTCCTACCACAAAGATTCAACTTACTTGAGGCCTGGTACGGTTTGGCTAATGCCATGCTGACAGCTGTGGATCTTTTCTCTATCCCTTGTTTTCAATGCTTTCCTTACCATTGACCCACAACTGTTCAGTTCACCTGTATATATATATATCCCTGAGACCAGGACAGTTCTGGCACACTGCAGATGCTAAATCAACTTTTCAGACATGGAGGACAAACAAATGAATGCATTTCATCCTTTTGACAATCCTAAAATAAGGAAATAGAGGATCAGAGGGAGTTAGTCACATGTCCAAGTCACAGCTAATAGCAAGCAGAGGTTAATGTCTCAGCAATTCTCGAAGGTCTCGCGTGGGATCCTTCGTAAAGCCCCTAGGTAGATGAAGGAGCTCAGGCTGGCAGATCATGTTACCCAAAGGCAATGTAGAAATGCTCACGGAGTGTGCCCTGTCTGCAATTTTCTTTCCCCTCGGATGTGTTTGCAGCCCATGGTGTTCCTAGAGATTTTATTTATCTGTGGATTTTCTTTGAAGAAAGGCAGCCGGCGGATGTTTTTTAGAAGCCAAGGTGAGAATTAGTGAGATGCTTTGCCATGGCACCTTTTACAACACTGGAAAATGATCATTAGACTCCCTCTCTAGGATAAAGGATTTGCATCTGGCTTGCTTTGTGCAAACAGTGCTTTTGTTGATTTATCAACAGGACTTCGCTTGGGGTTTTGGATTGGATTCCAGAGGTTGGCACCTACACTCTAAAAATCTAAACAGAAGGAGAAAATAAATCACCAACTGGCACTTTAAAGGCAAAGATTTATACCAAACTTAATGAACTTCCTGTCTTGCTGAGCGTGAGGAAAATGTCATGTTTACCCCAATGATCTCTGCTCCTGGCAGCCGATGTGCTGGGTTGGAAAGGATGCAGAAGTGGGTCAGACTCACCCAGCTGGAACTCAGGAAACTCATTAGAGTGCCAGCTCTCCACAAGCACTGTGGCCTTCCTGGTCCACCCCTTCCCCTGGCTGCACACCTTGCTCAAGGAGAAACGGGCACCAGGTTGCAGTGTGCTGTTCTCTATAAGCAGACTAGCGATCGGTGATTTCAAGTGCAACTCGGTGATTTCAAGCGCGACTTGCTGACATACTGCCATATGCGGGAGTGTACTGTGTACTGTGGTTCTTGGAGACCCCGAAAGTGGGATATGGAAATAGTTAGTTAGCAAGGGACACGTCACCAAAACTACGACAGCTTAGTCATTCCGAGACTTCAAGAAATCAGTGTGGAACTACAATAGCAGGAAGGAGCTGGGGGTACTCAACCTCCTAACTCCCACTAATTGCTCAAGAGCTGCTCCCAGGGATGTGAATTCTCTAGGATTTTCCAGTCAGAAGAGGCCCTGGGTGGAGAACATATCACACCAGCGAGGAAATTGTAAAAGAAAGGGTTACAAGGGTGGGCAGCCAGGAGTGAGAGCATTCACAAATTAGGAAGGGTCTGAGTGAGTGGGTCAGCCACTTGACTGACTCGCGAGAGCTTCCCTTGCCACCATTTATGCGGTTCGTGCGTGGGGCCTGGGAGGGAGAAACATCTTAGCATCCTACCCAGTTGAAGAACCTTTCTTTCTTTGTAAAACTTGGAACAGAAAACTTTCTTTGATTATAACACTTATATAATCAATACTTGTCTGTAAATAATCTGACTCACACCACGGCATTGCAAGATCCAAAATCCTAATGATTGTTCAGTCTGCATTTTCCTACTATCTTTATATCATATGAGGGATGCCCAGATTAAAATTGATATGAACAACCTTCCTGCCAC